ATGATGACAGACCTGAGGCTCTGTGTAAATAACCTGATTCCTCTTTCCTGATTCCACTGTTTGGAAGTTTTAAATCAGGGAGATGAGTCTCGGGCAACAGGAATGTTCTCACCTGAGTAAGGACTTAACTACAGTACGTTCTTGAGCATTTGTGGGTATATTTCCATATCCAGAAAATAATAATTTGCATGGATGGGTTGTACCATATTAATGCTACAGTGTAAATGAGATCTTCGATGGGAATTTGAAATTGTTGCCTTGTCTTTCTCGCCTTTATTTTTCAGTTCTTCGTGCCATGAAAGAGGACAGTGAAAAGGTCCCGAGCTTGTTAACTGATTATATACTGAAAGGTGAGTGTTAGGATGTGGTGCGCGCGATGGTTGGAAAGATTTGATGAGTCGATGAATGCATCGTCTTGCTAATAGATTAGAAAGTAATTCCCAAACGCACTTTAATCAATGTCATTTGTGCAGAGTGAGGATAGATGCATGGCTTACTTATGGCTACTCATGTTACGAATTATGGTATATAAAATTCAGCTCTTATTTGGGGTCTTGGGCTGGTGGAAATACGTTGCACAACTCAGCTGTAAGGATGGAGGCAGGCAGCGGGGGAAATATTATGGAGACATTCCCACAACTATGTGAGTCTGAGGTGTTGACTGACCCTGGGAGGGGTTGAGTAGGGGGGTCTCTGCCATCTTGGGGACGATGGAAAGGGAAGGACAGATCGTGAGGATAGATGAAAGAGAGAACAGTCAAATCAGTGAAGAGTCCCAAAGGGAATATGAGAGGGATTGTTGTAAGGGACAGGCAGGGGAGGGAGAAAAAGAGTGGATTTTCATCAACTAGGACAATGAAAAATGAGCCATAAATCTTAGCAAGATCAATGTCACAGGTTGGGAACAGGGATGAGAAAAGGAAGGTCATTTGAGAAGTTAATGAGGTCACTTACTTTGCTGAGGGAAGATCAAAATTTGGATGATAAAGAGGGAACTGATGAACTTTTTTAATTGTAGGCAAAACTAATACTAAACTAAAACTAATACAGGGAAATTATTTTCTATAAGGCAGCAGTTATCCAGGTAACGGATTTACCAAGCATCACAAAATGCATCCTGTAGGGTATGATCCAATATTGAGAGCAATCCTCTTCTGGTAACATTTTCCTTTGGGTTCTCCCTCTCCTCCGTCAGAGTTGCTGGCTGAACCATAGGAAGGTTGGGATTTCTGAGAGGTTAGGTAACTCAGACCATAGCTTTCTTTACCATAGCTTCATAAAGAGGAAACCTCAGAATGTACTGGGAGCTCCAAGTGAGTGATACTCACCTGTAAGAGACTTGGAGTGGAGCCAGTCATTAGTAGGTTAGGGGTAGGGGGAGGGGTTTGAAAAGAATAAATTGAAATTTTAAATAAGTTGTGTTCTTCTGATGGAGGGCTTTTTCTTCCTATTACATTCTGAATTTTCTTTTTTAATACCTGACACCTTTGTTTGCTTTTATGTTGTGCTAGCATTGGTATGAAAGCTGGATTGTTCTGAGGTTTGTTCTTACAGATGTGAAACAGGAATGAGATGAACATAAAGAACATGTCTTAATTTTTAATTATAGTGGGTCCCTAGGGCACTACCATGAGCGCCAGAAATAGAATGAGCTTCTGAAACATTCTCTGGCTGTTTTATCATTTGACTGCATGGAAGAATTTTACGACCCAGAGAACAGAGTGCTCTGGGGGCAAATGCTGTTGAAGTTTTTCCTCTGAAAACCCAGGCCTGTAACTGAACCTATACCACGTGCCTTCGGGGAGCAGCACTTACCTAATTCTGTGCTCCATGCTCCAGCCTGTGAGCCAGGCCGGTCTGTACTGGAGCTGTGTCTCACGAGCTGCTTGTGTGCATGTGTTGTGGCTTTGTCCCTGCTTTGTGAGGACTGGGTGGAAAAGAAGCTAGGGTTCAGACCCAGGTGATGACTCTGCGGTCCGAGCACGTAAGTAGGCCTGTGTGTGACGCTCAGAGGTGTTCAGTCGCATGGGCACGTATGGACGGGGGTTATGCAGACAGGGGGTGACTGAAATGCTCTCTTCCACCCATCCTGGAAGTCCACAGCCAGTCAGCGATTCCTCTACCTTGGGGGTTGGTCCCCAGCCCACTAGAAGGTTCACCTGGCAGGGGGGGTCCTGCTCAAGGGAAAACTCTCCTTCTGCTTTCTTGGTGGGACTTCCTCATGGTTGTGTAACAATAGAGACCATGGCTTGGCTGCTAAGTGTTCATTTTAATGCGAAGGTATGAAATAAAATAAGGTAGAAAAGTGGCCTCATTTGGCCTGAGAAGGGTGGGATGGATGCCGTACGGGCTCCTTAAGCTTTTTCTCGCACGTGCTGAACGACCCTGCTGTGGCCTCCAGGTTGCACCGAAGGCTGGCAGCGTAGACAGGGTTGCTGCTGTGTGTCTGTGTGTGTGTGTGTGTGTAGACTTGCACTCTCCTTTCACTTCCTGGGGAGCTTCTAGGCTGTGTTGCTGCTGCTGTGTGTGTGTGTGTATGTGTGTGTGTAGACTTGCACTCTCATTTCCTGGGCAGCTTCTAGGCTGTGTTGCTGCTGCTGTGTGTGTGTGTGTGTGTGTGTGTGTGTGTGTGTGTGTAGACTTGCAGTCTCCTTTCACTTCCTGGGGAGCTTCTAGGCTGTGTTACAAGCCTGACGGTATAGGGCTAACGTTATGGGTTCTTATCTCTTAAGTGGTATCCTGAGACATGGCCTTTTGGTATCTCATTTCTGGGCAATTTTAATAAATGTGTCTTGAGAGAACTTTTCACTGTTGGGTGTAGCCTTTCCAAACCTTTTTTAAAAAGTTGCTGCTGTAGATCCTTGCATTGTTTGTTCTCATGATTTAATTGTATGTTTTTCTATACATATGTATGTACATCTTGTGTAAATATATACAAAATCTACATTTCTATTTAAGTTTTTTTTCTTCCTCTAGTTCTGTGCCCTACATAGGGCAGCTTCGCGTCAGGAGCAGCTTTCTTTCATGGACTACAAGTTAGATTTCGTACAGCATTGTTCTGAAAGCTGGCTACCATTCCCTTCCTGCCATTGGAAACTCAGCACACTTGAACTTGGGTTTGTGATTCAGTATTACTAGATCATGCTTTCACTAATTCTTTGTATTTTGAACCAAGAGAAGTATGGCACTGTTCTGAATTCTAGAGGTGTTTCGTGTTAAATACTAACAATTACGAGCTCTTCTCTCCAACTTTGTAGAGGAAGAGGGAAGTCATGTTTGTGCATGCGCAGTTATATTCTTCCTGAGCTGACAGTATGCCCAGTTGAGTTCTTACGGCCTTCTAAGTCTGAACTGCACTGAAGAACTAGATTAAAGCATTGAGAGATTTATATTGTAGCTATTCTTCGGTGGTGGCGAGAACCGACGCTGTTCCTTATAAGGGGACTGTCAGGATAAATATTACCTACCAGTGTTGTCCAGGGAGACTGAAACGGAAACGCAGGCTGTTCTTGGAAGAAGTGGAAGCCGAATGTGCGCTCTCCCTGGTGGGGAGTGGGCTGATGTTGGAGGTTGCTGCGGGTTTCACCACTGTTCAGATGTTAACCATTAAGTTGCCGTTCACTTTCAGAAGTTTGTGTTGTTGAACTCTGGATGTTTGTATGTCTGCGAAGAAGTGTGCTTTACAAGGAGGTTGTGTCCCCTGAGGTGCTTTTGTGTCTGCGCAGCCGCGCCCCGCCCCCACTCCTGGTCCATGTCCTTCGTGCGGGGGCGTCCTCCCCAAGTGCTACTCCGGGGAGCAGCTACTCATCCATCCAGCACTGGTCCTGAAACACTTTTCTGCCAGTTCCAGTCAAGTCATTGCCATTTAATAAATGTTGGAAAAAAGGGTAATATATGTTGGAGAGATTTGAGAGTTTTTGTTGTACTTCTTACGACTTTTCTTCCCTTGCAGTGCTAGATTCTTCCTTTTACATTCTACATGTCGTCTGTCACTACCATGTGTAAGCTGGTAAACCCTGATTAGCTTCATGATGGTCAGGAGAGGGGAGAGAGACTTTTCCAGGTTGCCCTGGGTTGCTGTGGAATGACAGAAATCCTGCTCTTTCCCTGGGTCCGTGAGACATTCCTGACGGCTATGGCAGCTCCCTCCCTCAGACCACGGGAGCGTGGGAAGAGTTACGGCAGACCTGTCAGGGCTTTAGAATTCCACTTCAGCATCTGTGAGCACACAGGCCCATCCCTATTCCTCATTCCACTGGGTAAGTGGCACGCCAGGGCTGCAAAGGCAGCGGCTCAGGTTGGACTTAGGAGACTGACTTGGCATCCCCATGGTTACCTAGGGCTATGTGGAGCTTGAGCTAGTTTCTTGTTTTATCAGTGCGTTATTGGATAGCGACTGTGTGGGACTTAACTCGCTCCTTGCTCTCGAACTGGTGAGGATGCATACTTAATACAATTAATAACTTCAACTAAATTGATCCAAATTTGTAAAAATTTTGCCTATACTAAGGAAATAGCACTTTAGAAGGCATACGAGAGAGTCAGAAGTCCTTGAGGATGGGTTTTTTTGGGTAGAGATTCAACAGTGTTCTGTTTATAGTTCATTCTTAAGTTGATGCTTCTGGAGTGGATGAAAAAGTACTTTTTTTCAACTCCCAGTCCCCTAATAATGAGATTTCTCCTATCTTGTCTGATAAACTTGTTTCCTCAGTGGTAAACTACCAGTGTTTCCCACCTTGGCCCTTCTCGCACACACGATGGATGGATTCTGATACCAGTGAGGAGAGGGTGAGCAGGTTTCTGGTTTGTGACTGACAACAGGTAGGTTTTAAGTCTCCCTAAGAGCAGCATCGAAGTGCCACCTACCCCGAGACAGGGTTTTGTACAAGGATTTGCAGGGTGAGGCCTGCCCTCTGAGAGCAGCCCTGGAGCTGCTGGGGGGGGGGCGGGGCTGGAGGGTCAGACTGACAACACACAAGGACTGTTAGTCCTTTTTGTGATTGAGATTCAAAGTGTTGATCTGTTGCCAAGAACCCAGCTGCAAATAATTCCCTCATGGCTTCGTGGTTTGAGGAAAACAAAACAAACTGTAGAACCCCAGTGCACTCCAAGTGCCATATATCTATTTTATTCTTCAGGAAATTATATTTGTTTTTCTTTTACAAGAGCACAACAGGAACCAAAGTAAAAGAGTAATAGATACAGCACTCAGGATAAATCATATCTTTAAAATAATAATAAAAAAATTTACACCTTGTCCTATATCCTGTTAGTATTTTCATAATATGGCCATGATTGAAAAAAACAAAAAGCAAGCATTTACAATTTTTTTGATAGAGATTTTTTATGCCAGGAATGGATTAATTGTCGACAAAATTTTATCTAATCAGGCTGATGTAAATCTATTTTGGTAACATCGTATCATTAACAAATTTATTTTGGAAATAGATAAAAATATTGCCCCTTGATAATAAATCTTTTTTTTCCTTTGATGCAAACAGCTAGAACACCTTTTTCTTTTCCTTTTGATATTCTAAGACAAAAAAAAATGGTTAATCTTCAGATTAATAAATTAGGTCATTATAATAATAAATTAATTTTTTTTAAAGTTCAGCAACCTCTGTCCAAGTATTTACAACAATACTTGAAAGTTCCTTTACAAAACAGAACACATTTTCTTTTCACATTAAGCATACTGGGTATCTGTGTCTTTTACAACAAGCATTTTAAAAAGAAAAATCAATGCACAAATGGGTAATTAGTATAAAAGTGCTAAGAGCTGTTTGAAAAGTTAACACTATAGTATACAGTCAGTTATATTTGAGGCAAACTACAATAAACTTCCAGCTTATTATGGACAATATTCCAGTAGTTGTTTCAAACAGTTGTTTGAAGAAAAAAAAAAAATCCAGGAGCTGATTAGCGATGCAGATAAACTGCCATCAATGTTTCTGGCCAGTGAGCAAATTGAAAACCAACAGAGAGCATATCCAAATGAGGGAGAAGAGTTTAATAAAGGAATACCTTCTCCACAGCAGGTGTGATGCCGACTGCACAAGGCGTGTGTGTACACACCCTCACACCCTCACCACACACATCTTCCCAATTAAACTGCAGGTAGAATGAAATTTTGTGTTCTTAAAAATTTGTAGGTGATCAAAAGCACTGATATGGAATGCCTGTTTGTCTTTGTTCTGGTTAAAATCTCATAAAAATACATTCAACAGGAAAACATAAATTGTATGTGTATAAATATATATGCATATATATTATATACACACGCACACAAATACTTTTGTTTTTTTGAAGCATAAGATAGTTACATAAATATTCCTATAACTGCTAAAGTTTAAGGAGGCATATTTTTTTTGAGCTTCAACAAAGGTGCTTGAATAATATACAATTAAAATGAAGTAGTTTCTATTTTGTAGAATCAGTATAGAATAAGGAAAAAAAAAATCCCCAAACAGTCCTTTTTTAAAAAAGTTTCTTCTTAAGCTAGAGCTTCAACAAAAACTATGAACACCCAACAAGAGAACAAAGCCACGACAGACAATGAAGTACAGCCCCTGGGAATACCTGGTGTCCTCCGCCCTCTGCCTCCTTCCTGCCACGCGGTGGTAAGAGAAGCTCCAGTGCTCACGTCAAGAAATGACTTAGGTCTCGTTCACCTGCTGACTCTGCTAGGAACTGGCTGATTGGCTTGGAAGAAAACAAAAGCAGCAAAAAGTATAACTGTCTATCTCCTTAACACCCCGCGTCGGAGAAATGCCGCAGCGCCTCTCTCCTGCTTCCTCACTGCCCACCGCGGTGGGACCGTACAGACCAGGACCTCGTGGCGGTAGCCCGGGGACAGCTAGCGCCAGGTGCTGGTGCGCTCGTCTGCAGTCCTAAGGTGGCTACGGCAGCTGGGTCACAAGGCCTTTGTTTTCCCTGCTCACTTGGGCCTGAGCTTTGCAGCAACCAGTGCAGTCTTCAAGGAAAAAAGCTCCTCTGGGCCACTCAACTGCTTTATTTTAACAGGATTTCTCCCCTGTCCCCGAGCCCAGCTGACCAATTTGCCTTCCCAACACCACCCTCCCAGCCCATCTCCCCAACCAAACTCAACTGTCCCCGCCCCCAAGTATCTCTGCAGCTATATTACAAGCAAGTATGTCTTAACGACTTTAAAAACTTTGGTTCTAAGAAAACACTTGGTCAGTTATCTTGAGGCAAGTGGGAATGCTTGTTCTGCACACTGCTGTAGACAGAGCCCATCCCGGTAAATTCTTAGCGCTGTACATCAAGTCACAATCCAAAACGATCCACTAAGCAAGTGCACAAATTCTAGTTTACTTTTAAAAGCAGATTTAGTCGTTTTCTGTCTTTCAAAACCTCATCGACGTCGCCCTTTTTCACACTGTCTGGTAGAAATTATCTGCCTGTAGGTGGTTCTGTTTTTGCATGCTGTAGAAGCCACTGAATCTCGCATCCGGTTCGGCAATTCTTAGCATTCTCTGTGAGCTGTCCACGGGGACTCTGCTTCCTTTCTTGCAGTCCACAGACACCAGCTGATTATTTAAGGAAGAAGGCTATTTAATGAGAGGAGGAAAAACCACAAAGAATTAGCTACTTTACGTATCCTAAGTTAACAAATTTAGTCTCAACTCAAGTGAGGTGATAGCTTCACAGGACACTGACAGGCAGACTGGACGTGGAGTCTACACCCTTTTCTAGCACCAGCGGTAGTTTCGTAAGGGATGCTGCCTGACAAACCATTTAGAAGTGAACTGTCAATAAATGATGTCAGATGGAGGGGATGAAGGAACTGAAAAAAGAGAATGGTCAAACCACGGAACTATTTTCAAATCCTTAACATGCAGGCTAGCACTTGTAAGGGTTGAAGGAGTGGGAGTCACCAGATAGATAGGCAGATTTTAAGATAAACAGACAATGTTAAATCACAGAGCCAGCCCCTGTCTGTAGCCAGCCACTCCATGCACATTATGAACTGGTCTCTCTTCCCAGCTTTTCGCTGTGGGGACTGGGTCTTGCCCAGTCCCGTGTCCTGACCCCACAGGTGCCCAAAGTGTATTTCTTGAAAGAAAGAGGCCGGATAAGCATCCAACAGAAATTTTATATGGAAGAGTTACCTAGGTGGTAAACTGAATTAAAATAATTATTCAAGCTGTTTTCAAATTCTTAAGGGTATATGATTTTTTTCTTAAAGAGAAAAGACAATGTAAAAAGTAGACTCAGGGTTGGAAAAAGTCATGACTTTTCCCTTTAATGAAAATGAATTTTCTTGCCTTTTAAAATAGGCTGATTTGACAACAAATACATATTCTTCCTTTCTGAGTATGAAATGTGCCCCTCTCTGCCTGGGCTAGTGTTACTTTACAGTCTCTTCAGGATCTTCTGCCACCTGTCCCCCGGCTGCTTGCCCTGGATATGTCTCCCTGTCCTTTGGAGTTCTGTGTATGTTCAGGACGCTCGAGCGGTCTTGTGGCTCTCACCCGAGTGCTGGCGCCCTCTTTCTAGGTTTCTTTCCCAATTCTAAGCTGATAGATCACTGAGAAATTCAGGTTTTCATTTCTAATATAAACAATGAATCCAGAAGTATTTTTTTTTTGAAAACTTGAAATCCAGGACAGTGGCTGTGTGGAAGGTCAGGATTCATTAACCAGTGGATGATGGGTAATTCACCACTGACTGACTGCTCCAGCCCCAGGCACATGCTCTGTAGTGGATGGCCGGCTACAGCTTGCTGTCCATTTGAGGCCGTGAAGACCAAAGCAACATTTTCACTGGCTAATATAAAAGACATCAAGCAATTTAAGGATGTGTGAGCACGCAAGCTTTCCTAGTTCGGTCACTCAAGAGACAATCTTTTTCAGGACAAATACCTTAGTTGGTGTTCGATACCAGCAAAGCAGTGGTATCCACTGTTTCTTCTGATTGATGAATAGGAATGCTATTATAATGGAGAGGCCGATTATTATGGGAACCACAACCGAGGCAATGGAGTCCAGTGAAGAATCTTCGCCCGGATGCAGCCTGTTGTTATCTCTGTAATCTACCTGTAGGTGACCCATGTCTAGGAGAAAAAACAGTTAAGCATGTATTACCTAAACAAGAATTTTTAAGGATTATTTTAGTTACACTGCAAATGCAAATCAATGACTTGGTTTTATTTCTTCCCAATGCTTTCAGGCTAAACGATTCAAATGTAAAGATCCAGAGAGCTCTTACGAGAGGGCAGAGCTCTTAGGGATGGATGTGAGACAGGAAGTATTAGGGTGAGAAGGTTAACAACTGGGCAGGATGAAGCTGGTTCTTGCTTCATCCTTATAAACTGACTATTACTGAAAGTATTTTGATTAACATTAACCTATATGGTCTTCTCTAAGATTCGGAAGCAGAAACATTAGCTTAGCTCCCCGCTTACCAGCAAATAGGAGACTAGAACAAAGTCTCTTCTCGGACTTACCATACTAACAGCCAAGACTAATTACTAATATAACAGTAAAAACTATGCCAGCATCAAGAGTTTGGTCTTTTGGTTGATATTCTGGTTTACTGAGCTCTAAGCAAAAATGCCTCCCTCTTCATAAAATTGCTGAAAACTCACTAGGCCTAATAGATCATTTTCCTGCCTTAGTTAATATACTGCACAGGAGACAACATTTTTGTTCTTATGAATGCAGGTCTGTTCCTTTAAATCATCATTCTTGCCATAAATATTGCAGAGATCACTAGGTTAACTCTGTATCAATCAGGAGCACTCCCTGGAAGTTCCCTTACTTTTATTTTCTTTCAAATAAACTACTGTGTTCAGATTGTCTAAATGCATCAAAAACCAAGTTAGTGAAAGATGCAGGAATTACACAATCAAAAAGTTGTTCTTAAATTGTTCTGGAAACTCAGCTCATCATAGCACAGCTTTGTGATATTAAGACTGTCTACAGTTTAAAAATCAGATTTTTATTAATATGCTTCTTCCTCTGTGTGTGTGTAGCGGGAGGGCTTGGGGGGATGGAAAGAAGAGGACCTTCCTAGTCATTCTATCCAGTGTAGATGTTAATACTTTACAGGAAGTTGAAAAAAAACATATTTATCAGCATCAAGACAAATACCAAAGGTCAAAATAACATCTTACTGATGAATTCAGGTTTTAAATACACAATGAATAAAGGAATGAATTTTTGCCTTACCACATTCCAAATGATACAGCAAATGGTTTTAGGAATGTATGTCATACAAGGGAATTGAAAAGGGAAATTTAGTGAAAGGAAAAGGAAGCTTCAAGTCTATTTATAAAATTCAGTCCAGTGCTTAAGTTCTGTTTTGATGCAAAAAGGCCATAAAAATCGAGCTTTGGGCTTCCTAGCAGCAAAAGCAAAAGAGGAAACAAGTACCATCAACAAGATTACAATGTCATCAACATTAAAAAATAATCCTGCTGGGTGCCTGGGTGGCTCAGTCCTTAAGCGTCTGCCTTCGGCTCAGGTCACTGTCCCAGGGTCCTGGGATCGAGCCCCGCATCGGGCTCCCTGCTCAGCCGTAAGCCTGCTTCTCCCTCTCCCACTCCCCCTGCTTATGTTCCCTCTCTCGCTGTCTCTGTCAAATAAATAAAATCTTAAAAAAAAAAAAAAAATCTTGCTTAGAAGTACAAATTTTCCTGCTACTGACACATGAAGAAATATCCTCCTCAGGGACTTTGTAACAGAGGTGCTAAGTAATGCACAGGTCCTCAATATATTGCAGTAAATAAGGCTGTTCTAGTGACCAAAGCCAGCATCTAGAACAGTGTGTGGCACAGAGTAGGCCCTAATATTTCTTGATTGAATGAATTTAAACGTAATGATAAAGCACAATTCAGTCACAGCAGTTATGTAAGTAGCCAAAACGCTGGGTCCAGGAGTTTGGCTCTCTGGTTATCTGGCTTGATCTAAAGAAGCATAACCTGCAGACTATCTAGAGTAACAACAGACCATTCATCTCTCAAGCAACGAATACTGCTTCTCCCAAAAGATATAAAAATTGCATAGTGGTGATTTTGAGAATGTCCTTGGAGTAGACAGGAGGCGGTGTTGAGTCATGGCTAAGAGGAAGTTTATACTCTTGATCAAGGGGTCTACTTTTAAAGAGAGGGCAATATTGACAGGAACCCTGCCTTGCTTTATCAATTAACTACTGAGAGGCAGAATAATGTGTCTGTTACACACAACAAAGGGACAGAGCTGGGGGAAAAAAGGAGTAAACCTGATGAGTGGAAAAATCAGCACATGTAATAAGCTGAACTCTCATGGAGTAAGAACAACCTAGAAGCAGAGAGTAACCTAATGCACAATTGCTTAGTCCAGAACCCACAGGGACTGAATAATGTATTCTTCTGCTTACATACGTACAAATAGGAGAGCTGGCTTAGAAATTCCGGATACCAGACTCTTAGGACAAAGAACATCTTTCTTTCCATCATCACTAAGTCTTGGAGCATGTGGGGCCAGAAGGAGGCATATTATCCAGTTATCTGCAGACTTATTTTATCATTCTGGGTTAAATATGTTACAGCCAAGCAGGTCTTCCCTGGAGTCCTTATTTGAACTTACGTGGGCTTGCCATTTAAAAAGATACCCAAAGGAAGTTAAAATAAAAAAAAAAAAGTAGACCACATGTAAGATTACAGAGCTCTCAGTCGACTTTAGCACTTACCTCTGGGGAGATGGATAATGTCATTTTCACTGGGTGTCGGCCACAAGGGAACCTCTAGGTCAATCTCTCCACGGTGATTCGTTTTCTCAATGGGTATATTGGTTGGTTCTGGGACATACATTTCTAAAAGAAAGGGACATTTTTCATAAGAGATGATGGAGGAGCTACTTACTCTTGACTTTTGTGTCCTCAATCCAAATGGATAGTGCATTCAATTCAGTACAATACGTCCTGGGACATGAAAGATCCAGTTTCTGCATTTATATCACCTACTGCTAGAGAGTCACTACCTTTGCAAGCACGGGAAACAGGTCTTATGACCACGTGAAAAAGGGAGAGAAAGTTTTCTCCCGTACCAGGGTCAGAAGCTCTGCTTTTTCATGTCAAATGGTGTTGGCCCTGTAGTTTTGTGCAAGCTGATAGGGACTGGCTGAATTGGAAGGATTTCTTTTAGTTTCCATCAGCTAAATACTATACCTTAATAACGGTTTCTCTTTAATCCATGAATGTTGAATCATTTATATATAATATATCCCAGGAAGTGAAAAAGTAAAAGCATCTTTCACTCTTCATGCATTTCTTAGGCATTTCCCCTCGAGTCACTTCCCCTAAATGGGAACAGAATGTAGGCAGACCTGACGAAATGTGGCCTGGCTCAAGTATAAAATGTCTGCTTTGTTACCACTGGAACCATGTGGACTAAAAGATGATCTTCAGTAAATACAGTTCCATTATCTAACTTGATCATGTAGGAACTCTGATCAATAAGATTCTACAACATGAAACCAGACCATCTAAAAAGAACAATATTCTTTGTCCCAAATATCAGGGTTTTTTCCCTTTTTTTCTTTTTAAAGCTAAGTTCTAAAAGGGACCAGTTTAAAAAAATTCAGAGTTTTCTTTGGCTCTGACCAAATATATTTATATATCCTTTCCTCATCTGGTTAACATTTTGAATAAATAGTTTTTGAGAACCCCTATTTTCAAAAGGTGACACAAAAGTCTGCATCAACCATATAGCTCCTTTTGGCCAGATCCTGCCATATTATTAAACTCCTTTTTATAAGGTTACTCCACATTGGTAATACTAAATATTCACTAGTAGCCCAATTGAGTCCAAAATAAAATATATAAAGTACAAGTTATAATAGAACTAACAATCCCCTGCTCACAGTGACTGCTCTCTATCCTGTAGTTACCTGCCTTTCAAGAAGTAAACCATAAGATGAAGTAGAGAGAAGGGGAAATGACAGGGAAGAGAGTGTTTGCTCTGCTTCCGCTGTTTGTTAACGGAGTTCCTGCCTGGGAAGGAAGTCAGGGAGGTTAAGTGAATTGCCCAAGATGATGTGTCCAGGAACTGGTAAAGCTGGGATTCAAATCCGGTTCTGTGACGCCATGGCCCAGGTCTTCTGGTGCCCCAGGAATAAAGTTATTTTGGCCTCTGTCCCCGAGTCTTCTGCTTTCTTTCTTAAATACAGCTGACCTTGAACAACACGGGTCTGAACTGCATGGGTCTACTTATAAGTGGGCTTTATCAGTACAGTACTGTAATTGTACGTTTCCCTTATGATTTTCTTACTATTCTCTTTTCTCTAGCTTACTCTGTTGTAAGAATATAACACATATAACATACAAAGTATGTGTTAATCGACTCTATGATATTGGTAAGGCTCCTGGTCAACAGGAGGCTATTAGTAGTTAAGTTTTGGGGGAGTCAAAAGTTATATGGGGACTTTCGAGTGCTCGGGGTTTGGCACCTCAGACACGGCAAGGCCTAGACATTTATAGTTTCAAAAAGATACCCAAAACCTCTAGAATTAAAAAGAGAATTTACTGACAGTGTTATTTATAGAAGCAGGGGCCGCTGGAGTGAAACCAATGACTCTCAAACTTTTCTGTCCTCTCTGAATCACCCGAAGGGCTTATAAAATGTGCTGATTCTCACAGGTCATGATTCTGTAGGCCCACGGTGGGTGATTCTGGGGTGGGTATGTAGGGCATGGTGTTTAGTTCACCCACTGAGAAACCCTGATTACGTGATACGAATTTCCTGGAAGAGTCTGGAAAGAAAAGTGACCTTGACATTTAGGTGACATCTTTCAATGCCACAGCACCTCTGAGCGCCTCCCCTAAGGGTCCACACAGCACCGAACCTTTGCGTTACAACAGGGCCTTTTCCCCCCCCGCCCCCCGGGTGTCAGGGAGCTCAGCAGAAAAGGCCAAAGTGAGATCTATTCACCAGACCTAGCTGTGTGGACGGCTAAGCAGCCAAAGCCCCCACAGAGGTCCCCAGAGCTGGGATCGGTTCTGCTTCACCTCAGGGTCTTCCTGGGTGAGAGCAGCAGAGAAGCAGGCTTGAAATCCTCACACCGCCTATCTGCACATGTGTAGATTGCAAGGGAAACCCCCCACACAGCAGACTGGACAGGTGAGTCCTCCTCCCCCAGGTGCTTAGGAAGGCTCTGCTTGGCAGCAGTGGGGAAGGTAGAAGGGTGTGCCCTGGGTCAGGAAGGAGGTCCCACATGGGGATTAATTATATCACCCCTGTCCACAAATACTTCCTGAGCGCGTCACTGGCCCACGTTTTGGGGAGGCAGCCGTGAGCAAGACCAGTCTGCCCTTGTGGGCCCCTCCCCACTGAGTGGCTCACAGCCTGCCCTGGGTACGGGTCTGCTCCACTGAACTCAGTACGGCTTGGACTGAAGTCCACCTACATCTCCTTCTTCATCACAAAATACTCAGAGCTCTAGTTTGGAGCCCTCACACCCAAGGGTCATTTCCCTTTAATGTGAACTTACAAGGGATGCTGTCTTTGAGCAGTTTTGCCAAAAAGAATACATCTTTTGGCAAAAAAAAAAAAGATTTGGACAAACAAAAAGTGTGGGAGCTACGCTCTTTCCATGCCTAGACCCAGGGCCTCCACGGCCAAGGCCTGCGTCTGACCCCAGCTCTCACATACAGCCCTTCTGGCATTTACTGTCACAGCCCTTCACAGCTGGTTGGCATTGCAGACACAAAACTACATCTGGCCAGGCCACGTGGATCACGGGCATGTGGTCATAAAAGACTTACTCCTGTGGTCAAATACGTTTGGACCTTCAGAGGCACCCCCAAGACCCCTTACTGGGGAAATATTTTACTTTCAGAGGCACCTGGCCAGTTGTAAGAGCCACCTTACCTGAAATGTCCTCTCCTGGAATATGGGGGGGGGGCAGGATGCTTGGGGTTAAGCTGAGGCACCATTTTTGGGGAGATGGAACCTGCAGTCAACTTAGGACCAGAATGCCCAAGTCTGCCAACTAGTGGCGTGACCTCGGAGAATCCACTTAACTTCCCCGAGCCTCGGTTTCTTCTGTAAAATGGGACAAGTACAAACCAGCTCACAGGTTTTGTCCTCATATCCTAAGACAGCAGAGGGGAAAGTGCTTTGTAAAGGGGGTGAGGCTAGCCAGACCGGCAGTCAGTATGTGCAGGGGGCAACGCGAGGTAGCAGGAACTATTGAGATGAGAAATGGAAGCCTGGCACTTCAGTGAAGATCCCGGACCAAGATCACACAGTGAGCCAGTGAGAACAGGGCAGGAACCCACCTTCCTTGGAAGGACACAATCAAATGCAAGGTGGCAAAGCATGACTGATTGCAAAGTTTGCTTAGAGAGAACATGGAGAAATGATTCATTAATAGTACACATCAGATGCAGAAAGGAGAGTTACAGAAATTAAATTTCAATCCAATAGTAAATCCTAACTGAGAAGTCCCTGGAGAAATCTTTCATAATGAACAAGGATGTTATATATGCACTCTCTTCTTTCTTAAAGTCACAAACCAAGGACAGTGTCTCTTGACCTCTATTCCTAGCACCGTCACCTGGATTTGGGGGCCCTGTTGTCACACACCTGGGACGTCTGCCATGTGAGTTACGGCTGTCCAGGCCTCTGGTCTCCCCCTGCTTTAGTCCCTCCCACACATCACCTATTAATCCTCCCAAAGCACCTATGTGACCATGTCCTTCACCCGCTCAAAAATGAGCCTCCCCACCCGAACAAAGGATGGCGTCTATGCTCTTCATTTCACTCCAGTAAAGAGAGCCCACCTGTCCTGCAAGGTCAGGCTCAAATCCTGGGGAAACCTGCAAGACCACTCCCCCTGACAGCAGTCCCACTTGTGAACTGTGTAGCAGGGCTGATAACCAGCGTCTCCAATTCACCCTCCCCTTCTCTTTTGAAACCACCCTCATTAGACTTTGCCTCCACACCACTGTGCCGAAATGGCTCTGGTCAGGGCGATTAGGACAAGGCTAAACGACAACGATTACTTTCTGCATCTCCTGCGAGGACCTAACGGCGCCCCCACCCCCAGCCCAGGTCCTCCTGGCTTCTGGGTCACAGCTCACGGGCTCCTCCTACGTCGCTGTGGCTCCTTCTCTGTTTCCTCTGCCAGGCCCTCCTCCCCTGCCTGGTCTCCCAAAGTTGGAGGGTCTCTGGGCTCAGTCATGGCAGCCCTTCTCCACCACACTCACTCCCTGGGGGATCTCGTCACCCAATCCCAAGGCTTACAAACCACTAAATCCTACTGATTGTTCCCTCACAACAGAATCCAAGCCCGGCCACTCCTCCTTGCTTCCAGAGTCATGACTGGTGGCCACCTACATTACTGGGAAAGCCTCCGACCACTCTTTGCCTCCACATCCCATGGTCTATGCTCAACCCAGCACCAGAGACATCCCGTGAAAGGGGAAGTCACACAGCTTCCCTCCTTTGCTTAAGACCCTCCGATGTTTCTCTCCCACTCAGTAAAATCCTGCCCCGCCCCGCTGAGAGACCACAGGTTTCAGCTCCTGGTGGCCTCTCCACTCGCCTGACCCTCCTGCTCCCAGGGCCCATCCACACAGGTCTCCGGGCTGTCCTTCAACAGGCACCATGTGTTCCCAGCCCAGGGCTCTGCCCTGTCTATACCCAGAGGGTTCTGCCTCTTCCCTGGGAGTCCTCTGTTCTTCTGGGTCTCCTAAACGTCATCTGTTCAAACAAAACCACCGGCCCCTTCTCCTTTGCCCCGACTGGCTACGCTTTGCGCCACAGTCCTTGGCCTCACCCTGGGTGCTGTCTCTTTCTCATTTCTTGTTTGCTACCTGTCCCTCCCCACGAAAACGTGAGCTCCGTGTGGACGGTGCTCTGTTGAATTCTCTGCAGTGCCCCCAGTGCCTCGGAGAGGCTGGTGCACAGTGGGCACTAAGCGAGTCTCTGCTGAATACAAAAGGTTAAGTCTCACCATTTGTACCTCAGAAGCATCTTACTGGGAAGTTGGGTACGGAGCTTGTGAGACAGGTGGTGTGGAGCAGACAAACCAGCTCCTGTGAGAAATACACGGTTTTCCTTGTTTTTCTTTGCGTGACCCTCAGGGATTTCATTTTCCGCTGGGTGCAGACAGAGTGATAAACCAGCAGAGAGAACCTGACTCTCCCATCTATGCCTTATACGAGGCCCACGAGACAAGCAGGAAGAGCACCCAAGTGAAGGCTCTGAAAAGGGCTCAGCCTCCTGAGCGGGCAGAACATCCCAGCCTTTACAGGGTCTCAAAAAGTTGGACATTTTCAGCAAAAGGTCAATGAGTGCAGACAATGCAATGCTTGGGGCTTAACTGACTGTCCCATTTACGGCCGCACGGTGTAGATGCATGGCTGGCAGGACTCCGAGCTTCCTGCATCGCATGGAACAAGATTCTCTAACATAATGCAGCAAGGTGAAGATAGAAAGGATCCTGACTCACTCCTAGAGTGCAGGTGCTCTGCGGTCTGGACTGCCGGTGGAGTCTGTGTGTTTAGGGCTGGGGGTCTGGAATGCGGCCCAGGCTGTGCTGCAGAGGGCTCAGGCCCTGCATTTCTGGGATGAGGGGCAGAGGAACTAGGGCATGAGACATAGGGAAGGAAGGGGAAGGCCTGGGGCGGGGTGGGGGGAGATCTGGGCAGCAGTGGCGGGGGGCTGAGGTTTGAGACTTGGAGGTGGGCTGCTGAGCGGACATGAAGGGTGGATGTAGGGGGGGAGGCTCAGGCGTGGAGTTCCACGGCTGCCGGCTGGGGTCTCCATAGGAAGAGACGGCGTTGGCCAGAGGGCCTGGGGGCAGGCAGCCCAGGACAACCTGGGTACTGCTGGGACTGATGAACTGAACAAGACTGAACAGAGCCGTATTCTTTAAACACAGCCGTTCCATTCTGGCTCTGGTGTACAGTCACCTTGTGATGGCTGTGATAGCGGTCCCCTACCGTGTCCGATCTCGGGCTAGTCCAGCACGCACGACACTGTGCCACCCAGACAGCACAGGTATGGTCAAGAGTCCGGTACGGCCCTCAGGCTTGTGCTGCCACTAGTATTTAGAGAACACAAATGGGAAGAAGCAGAGCAATTCTAGCAGGGACCCACAATTAGGCACTCACCCTGATGTCACTCTCTCAAGTTACCCCCGCCCCCCATCTCTTCACGGGGAGACCCCAGCTGGGCCCACGCACTGCCTGGGCCCCGCGAGCCTGCGGAACCGGCTTGGAGCTGCTCCGGCTTCACGCGCCATCCGCGCCACCGGCTGGGGTACCTGGGCACATCGGGCAGCAGCTTCCTTCCACGTTGATGGGCTCGACGCAGGGCAGAGGGGGGCAGCTGACGGTGGAGCAGAGCGTCTGGCCCTGTAGGCAGTAGCAGTGCGTGCAGCTGTCTATGTCCCACCGCTCCTCGTCGGCGTACGCCTTCCCGCTGAAGCGGCACACCGCCTTCCTCGGGGTCGTGTCTTCTAGGGGACAGAACAGCACAGGGTGGAGTCGCGGGACGGGACCAAGGGCCGTGGAGACGAACACGGGGCAGGGACGGGTACGGCCAGGGGGAATTGGGACCCACTGGGCAAGTGTCACTAGATTGTCACTGCAAAAAACGCAAATTCGTTCACACTGGGTGGCCGGGGAACACACGACACGAGAAAAACCCAAATACAAAGAGGTAGAGAGAGACACGTTCAGAGGTTTTACGTGGAAGGGGATAAAAAGTCCAGCTGAGTATATTTACAGAGACATTTCATGAAATTCCTACTTTCAGTTAATCTTTTTGTAAGTGATTCAGGGGAGTAGTCAGGAATGACTGTGGGGCGTCACCGGGAACAAGGGGGCGTCAGCGGCGACGCAACCACTTCCTTCATTCTTCAGTGATGCGGGGTGTGTTTCCCTCTAGTCAACAAAGGCATTTCTACTTTAGAAACAACCTCACTTCAGTTCAATCCATTTTTCTAGCCAACTAGGGTTTTTCACTATATATATATACATATTTTTTGACTATATATATATATATATATTTATTTTTTAAGATTTTATTTATTTTAGAGACAAACTGAGAGTGCAAGTGGGAGGAGGAAGGGAGAGAAGGAGAGACTCTGAAACAGATTTTGTGCTGAGCGCGGAGCCTGACACTGAGCGGAGCTTGATCTCAGACAGAGAGATCATGACCTGGGCCGAAACCAAGAGCTGGACTCTTAACCGACTGAGCCACCCAGGTGCCCCTGACAACAATATATTTTTAGGAGTTATTGTTGTGTGTAAGAATTTACAGTTTAAAACCCTCTGCTCTTCTTTCTTCTCCAGTCTCTCTTGCCATCCTCATTTCCTCCCTCCCCCAACTTTTTTCTAGAAAGTTTCTTTCTTCTCTTGGACTCAATGCCACCTCCTGGTTTTACCTGAACTTACTTATGAGTGGTCACATTTTACAGCCAGTCCTTCTCCCCAGAGCTCAAGAATGGTGGCTCAAAGAGAGGCCACAGTGCCCCACAGAGATGGGGCAGACCAACGGTGAAATTGGGGTCATCACTTCCTCGTCACTGGACAAGCCAATAACTGGATGACTCCTACCAACCTGGGGAAATTTTATGCTCAGATTCTAAAGGCAGCTCTACTGACCACTGGTCACCGATAATTAAAAAACTATAAAGGAATCTGGAAGGAAAGCTCCTTAGGAAAGGGGTGATGTTAGGGGCTCAGGGTTCTTCCTTCTGGAAGGCACTTGGGAAGCTCTAATGGAGGCAGTGTTTATTGCCCAGACACAGAGGACGGAGCCCAGGATGCCTGCAGGAGCGAGGAGAAACGTGTGGGCATCAGGTGCCATGTTCTCCGAGCAACCCCAACCTGCAGCCACCTGCTCCAAGGTGGCTAGAATCTGCTGTCTGTGGAGACCCAGCTCAAAGCTTCCTGCTGAACTTTTTCAGAGGGGGCTCACTGAAGACAGAAATGTTCTTATCTGTTTTTGGCGTCCATGTTCTCTTCTTAACCAATTACTCAAGCATATGCACCTTACTGAATGGCACTGAGAATGTCCTATTACTCTAATATGTTGTATTTCCATAGCTGTGTCTCAGTCCACTGCAGAGTTCTATAAGCAGGTCAAGTGTTAGAATGCACAATCTCTCTGTTTCTCAACATTTCTTCCTGGTTTCTCTCAGTACTGCTGCCTGAGTTCAACAAGGGATACCGAGTAATCACAGGAAGTTCTAGTTGTGAACAGAAATGCTTTCTCATTATCTATGAAAAAACGTACTTCGCTTTCTCAACGTTCCACAGAAAGTTTTCTGGTGCACTGACGGTTAAGCTTAAAAACTTAACTGGAGGCTTTCAAACCAAACCCCTGGTTTCTGCCTAGCCTAGTCCTCAGGGGAGGCAACTGCGTTAACATATCTCAAATGCACATGTCAAACGGCTCAGTACAATCATTTAATGAACCCAATTCGAGTAATATTCTGACCTCCAGCCAACTTTTCATTGAGGACATTAGATGTGCCATCAAATCGAGAGTCTATTATGCAGAGACTTCTTTATGAAAGGAAGCCTCTCTTCATAAAGCAATATCACTGATTATATTTTACATAAACCTTGTAACAGCTCCTCTGATGGACCAATATCATGGCATAAAATTTGAATAACGGATTACTGTGCAAGGACCTTAGAAGAGAGAAGGTTAAACTCCTCGCCCATCTTGTCCAGCACTTTCTGCTGTGCTTTTCCTCCCAAAGGCGTCTTGGCCAGTCCCCTCAGAGAAAAGGAGTGAGGGAATGGACTGTAGGCATGAACTCAGGAAGGATGGGGACTTCACAAAAAGGGGTTCGAGTCTAGGCCAAGCACTGGTTTGTATTTTCTCAGGATCTAGGCAAAGACACATCTTAAGATATTTAATTAATTAATGCTACTCCTACTTATGAGGCTAAAATTCTCTGTGAAAAATTGCACTGATACTAAGAATAATCATGATATGTTGAACATTATAAAGACATTCATTCGTTGATTCTACAGACTCTTCTCATCAGTGGGAAAGAAGGCATGACCACGAACCCTGACCCAGGACTGCAGAGACGTGGTGGAACAGGCTTGGGGAACTGGACACTTCGCCACAGAACAACACAGCAACCACTGCTCCTGTGAGTTTAACACGGAGGGCAAAGCAACTAACTGCCGGGGGGCTGGGAAAGGCATGACTCAGGACTCGGTGTTCGCGTTTCACTTGGAGGGACGAGCAGAAGACAAAGCTGTGGGGAGGGCATTCCAAGCAGAAGATGGTGTGTCCAACAGCTTGCTACACTGGAAGGGCAGTGAGAGTGTCAGAATGGAGAGAGAGAGAGAGAGAGTGTGTGTGCGCACACACACGCGCTGTGGCTGGAGGTGAAGCCGGGGTCAGATGGTAAGGGGCCTTGAGTAACAACGGACGTATTGAGATTCCTTCCTGTAGAGGACAGGAGGGACTTTAGCAGCTTTAATGGTAAGAAGAGAGCTCTAGAAAAGGGCAACATGGAGGACGAGATGGGGAAAGGAAGTTGAGGATACTGGTCATGGGGATGTGATGTGGGCTCGGTTAGGGCAGCGTGGATGGAGGCGGACAGGCAAGGCAAGATTTGAGAGATTTCTGAGAGACAGCTGTCAGGATATGGATGCTGAGGAAGGACAACCTTTCTTGCACAGGAGGCTGGGCAGAGGTAATTCCAATAGATGAGTCATTTCACTGCTTTAAGCAATAAATGGGGAGTTTGTGAGGGACCTGGTCAGGCCTTACTGAACAGATATTCCAATGGATTACTAATCGATTATTAATGCAGTGATCGATCCTCCAACTCTTAGGCCTCTCTGCATGAATACAACCAGGAAGCTACCGCTAGGACAGAGCAAATTTGGGGTGCAACAAGGTAAGAGAGGACAAATTTCAGTCACTGGGAGCTTCTGGTAGGAAAAAAGTGGATCGTGTGGGGTCATCGGCAGAACTGGTGGTTCCCTTTCTGTGACTCTGTGGAGTTTATATACCATTGAGCCAATAATCCTTCTAGGAATCTATCCCAAGGAAATCAGAAAAGTCCTGAAGTAAGTGTTTTCTGGTGGATGTTCATCACAATATTATTTATAACAACAAGAAGTTAGGGAAAAAAATCTGTGTCTAACAATAAGAGAATGTTTAAATGATTCAATGAAATCATATGAGAGAATACTGGGCAGTTATTAAAATGCATCACATATAGTACAAGCTCCATCACGTAAAGAGGAAAATTAAAAACTGTCTAGAAAGAAATGAAAATGTTAATAGTAACTTACATTAGAATTGGTGAATTTTTCCCTTCACCTTTTTTTTTTTTTGGACAATGCATGTCAGTTACTTTCGATAAGTAGGCAGCAATGGAAATCTTGCGTGCGCGCGTGTGCGTGCACACGCGCACGCACACACACACACACACACACACACAAGAGCATGCATCATCTACCTGACCCCTCCCAACCCCCAAATACACACACATGAGGATACTGAGGGGGAAGAGCTTAATCGGAGCCCAGTTCTAGAGCACCTGGCTATGTGGTGTGGTGCTCTCTGAATGCTAGAGGCTCAACTCTGAAGAATCTAAGTAGACTGCAAGAAAACTAAACCATGGAAGAAACACCCAACAATCAAATGCAGAGCTACAGCATAACAGTGTTTATGTAACTGCTGACTCAGCAACTGTAGGAGATCATTTCTAAAAAAATATTTATAAAATGGTATAAGAAAGTAACTACTCTGAATGACTTGGAGGTGATGGGTTGAACCAAGAACTTTGACTATATATTGGGTGAAACTGAAGTTCCTTATTTGATTTTGTTAAAAAAATAGATTATTTTCCTAAATTCAATGAAGATTAAGAATTCAAAGTAGCCATGTGATAGCAAGGAAGACTGAGATGCATTCTCCTGGGAGCCCCCCAAAGAGGAGTGCAGCAGGCTCCATGCAGTCGCTCAGAGGGCGAGCCAGATGGGTCCCATGTCCAGGGGCTTCCGTGGTCACAATAAAGCCATTCCCCTCAGGGAGTGGGCTGACATGGACTGAATTTCCAGGTACTTCTACCGGTTTATCTCTATTTCATTTAAGCTCTGCTCATCACAGATTATCTCAGAAGCATCTTGCCTTCAAGATTATTTTCAACTAATTCCAACTTGAGATCAGGAAGGTTTAAAAAACCAGGCGTGCCACGTTCATGGCAGCATTATTTACAACAGCCCAGACATGGAAACAACCTAAGTATCCATTGATGGATGAATGGTCAAAGAAGTTGTGTTATATATATACAAAAGAATATTATTCAGCCATAAAAATGAAAAAAATCCTACCATTTGTGACAACATGGATGGACCTTGAACGTATTAGGCTAAGTGAAATAAAGATAAACACTACACGATCTCATTGAAATGTGGACTCTAAAAAAACAAACAAAACACAAAACTCATAGAAAAAGAGATCAGACTTGTG